GATAGGTGAGAATATCTATTACCACTACCTGTTGTCAGGATGGTATGGATTTAGACGAAGCGAACTTACACCATATTGGTGGTAGCTACCATCACATCTTATAGACATCTCAGGGTTACCATATTCTACAAATTCGTGATCTTTAATGTATATGGTTTATACGCACCCTATGAAATTCATTCCCAGAATTGAACTGGTAAATCCCGTAAATTAAATTATTACGATCTGCCTTGGCCAGGGGTTGAACTAGGGTCTATTGCAGTGTAACTTATAATAGGTTTCAGTTGTTACCAACTGAGATAGAGTAGCGAGACCTTGTCGAAATCATTTCGACCATTGAAGGCTAAAGTCACGAAATAGTCGAAATGATATCATATCACATGATTTTTCATATTGAGAAAAAAAATAAACAAAAAATGTACTATCTCGATCAATATTATACTGATTCGTATGAAACAACTACCATTCATTTTCTTGTGACTTGACAGATCTAATGAGCTAACATGCATTGATTTTGGATCATCCAATCGCGAGATAATCGCAATTGTATTATCGGCTAAAATTATGAATCAATAAATTCTACTTTAAATAAAGGAGTCCAGATTTTGAAATACGATCGCAAATATCTCAAGATGGGCTGATCTAAAATCAATGAATGTAACTTATTGGATTCGTCTAGTCGCGGGGAATCGAATGGTAGTTGTTTCATACGAATCGGTACGATATTGACCGAGATTGTACATCTTTTATTTTTTTTTTCCTATATAAAAAATCATGTGATATGACATAATTTCGACTATTTTGACTTTTTATTTCGACTTTTGGGTTTTCATTTCGACTTCATGTATAAAGATACCTGAAAAGGAGAATTACGATGAATATGACATTTTTTTAGATGGTAGCATCTCCAATTGCAAATCTCACCACTCCTGTGAATATAAGTATATCGATAAAATACCATTTTTAATAACTATGAATGGTTGGTTTATGTATCAGTTTATATATTTTGAAATTAATTTCCATTTTAAATTTTTTTCTTCCGGAATATATACTCTCTCTCGAACTGTATATTTGTGATATAATATCATGACCCAATCTGAGCTTTCAGAGTTCCTCAACACCTTCGCCCCATACAAATAAGGTTTTAAAGCCTCTGATATGAGCGAATGCCTATATAAAACTCATGATGATAGTGTTAGATCAAGACATATCCTTAGCACGGATAATACAAATAAAATAGAAGTGATACTCTCAGATCGTAAGAGTCATTCCTTACACAAAATTATTAATTGGAATGAGCCAATCCAGCCCATTATAGATTTTGACTTGTCAGTAGAAACATTAAATGCTATATCTCCTAAGCTTTCAGGCAAACAGTCGAAAAATTTATTATGTTATGCTTTTAAAGATACTTGTCTTTGATATTTTTGGTATATTTTGAGTATCATCTGTAAGCAATTCTTTAGAAATATTATAGGTTCTACAACCTTTTATAGCATTATGTTTTAATACACTAACTGTATCATTTCCTTGTGGTAAATCAGAAGTTAAAACACCTAAACTTGCTATTATTCATGTATCTTGTCCATTTACTTTCATTATTATTCCTTATTCTAATTCTTTCATTTCTGAAATAAATGGTAATATAAATTCATTAAAATTATCACCAAATAGTACAAATCTAAGTATAAAATGATTTTTAATCAATTTTCTTTGATATGCTGTCATATTTTCAAATTGTAAATAAACTCCTCCTAATGAATGATAAACATTTCAATAAGTACCAAAATTATAATAAAGATCTATAAATAATTATAAATTAGCATATTTGATGATGAATCTTTAATACAAATATAATCTGAAGGATGTTAATATGAAAATATTATATCATGAATTCGCCAATGATTCTGATATTTATAAACTATTTTAGTAATATATAATGTTGCTTCAGGAATATTTTGATGTTGATATTCTATTAGTACAGAAGTTTTTTTTTGATATTTGCATTATTATTACTATTTTAAATGATTCTTCTTCTATCCATACTTCATTATTAAGAGATCAATTATATCTAACTTCACTTTTAAATATACCAAGTAGGGCAAAAATGGGGTTTCTGGAACAGATTTCGAAATAGTACTCAAATAGTACTCAGAAAAGATTCCTGACCGACCACGAATCCATTTTAGCTATATAAATCAATTATCAAATTCAAACCTCTAGTGCATTTTGACTCAATTCTAGATGATGATATCGAACTTGACTAGAAATTAACCTATTTGATATCAAGAATTACAATATTTGATTTAATCATTCTAGCTTGATTTTAATCCCAAATAATGTTTCAAAAAATTTTTACTATTCTATTTGCCTCAAGAGGGGCTATCGAAAATCAAGGAACAAAGTGACGTGATTTGAGCTGGGCCTGTCATTGCAAACCCAAATTTAATAATAACTTTTATGTTATTCTGCTTGCCTCTGGAGAGGCAATCGAAAATCAAGGAATAAAGTGACACGATTTGAGCTATACCTGACCATGCAAGCCCAAAATGTATACCATATGCTAAGTCTAACCTCGAAAAGGTTTGGTTTAGCTGTTATCTAGTTTGCAAATCAAAAGCTTAATGATTATGTTCTAGCACGTTATCAATTTATCAATATACAGAAAACCATTCTAAAGCTATTTCCTTTACACAAACCTGAGACAAAAAAGTTTAATCTTTCGTATATCTATATGTAAAATCTAACTGCAAAAAAGTCTAACCTCTCAACTAACTATATAATAAATCTATCTTTTACTAAAAGTCTAACCTCTTGAACACATATCAAACATCAAGGCCTTATCCCGAAGTCTATTAACATATTGAATCATATAATAGTCTCTAGTATGAAGATAACAACGACCACAAGATGATCCAGTAGGCTTACCACATCATGATTCCATGCAAGGTTAGCACTTTTTAGCCCTATTTTCTCATAATTTTAAAAAAAGTAATTGAATATTATATGACATGATTAATTAATTTAAATTGAACAAAAGTTTACGCATATATTAGAGGTTAGACTTATTATTAAAGTATCATGGTTAGAAAAGATAAAAAAAATTGTAAATGTATTTGTTGTAGTAAGACTTTTGCCACACCTCAAAAACTTCGTCAGCATTACAAAAGTAATAAAAATCAATGTAAATTAACTCCTGATGATATACCAAAGCAAGCTTCAGCTCTTGAGACTTCTAGTCAAAAGGAGAAACCTAACGTGATTGAGCGACAAGATGCTCAGGAGAGACCTAGCATGATTGAGCGACAAGATGCTTAGGAGAAGCCAAAAGTGGTTGACCCTAGTGTAGTTAAGCAACAAGATGCTCAGGAGGAACCTAGTATGGTTGAGCGACAAGATACTCAGAGGGAAGATGTCCAAGAGAGCAAGAGTACTCGAGAGAAACTTGTGAAGCAATTAAGTGATATAGAACTTCTTAAGGAGCTGGGTATGATAGAAGAAGCAGAAACAAGAATGATGACAAAGCATATTAAAGGGTTAACTATACTAGCAAATTCGGAAAGCCATGCTCCAGAAGGTGATATAAATTTTGAAGAAAAAAGAGCTGGAGATCCAAATAGACAACATAGAAATCTGCAATCATTAAGCATATGGGAAGCCATAGTTCCTAGAATGGCAAACCCGGCATATACTTTTAATGAAATAATAAATCGAGAAGATTATGCTGAAGTTCCATATATGCCTCAACTAATAGCATCAGCTCGAGAAGAAATTACAAGAGTTCTTCAAACAGAGCTTAATAGAAAGGATCAGATAAAATCAGCATTAGTCGTAAACTGTAAATACTATAAAATAGAAGAGGATAAAATCACCAAAGAAAAAATATATACATTTACTGAGAAATTTCATAGAGGAGAGATACGCCCAATTCTCTCTGAAAATGGAATAGATGAACATTTGACTCATTCTGGTTCAGAAATAGATAAGAAAATTGATGAATTTCTTACTAATGGATCTGGTTGGCATTTAATTCGAATTGATAAGGTATTTATTGAGTCATATACATTTCGTCGAGCTCTTGGAGGATCTTATATCCCTACACCAAAAAAGCTCGCAAATACTAAGTGTACCATTAATCCTGATAATTATATGCTTATAGATCCAGAAACAAATAAACCATCTGAAAAGTGTCTTCAAGGTGCATTAGGTACCTACTTCGCTCATCAGGATGGAAATACAGAACATCTTGAACGAATTTTTAGAGCTAAGAAGCTTAAACCCTACTTAGATATTATTAAGTTAGATGGTATTCCCATGCCTACCCCTATTTGTCCACGTATATTTAATAAGATTGAGGAGATGAATCCAGATATCTCTATAAATATCTGGGAGTGGAAAGAGGAATCGAGTACACCCCCCAAGTCTGTAGTTTATAGTAAAAACTATGATAGACCGCATATTATTCATTTAATGGTCCTTACAAAAATTAATAAAAATGAGGATACAGGTAAGTATGGGCAAAAGAATCATTTTCTATGGATAAAAAATCATGATGGATTAATGTTCAAAGATACAGCCCATCATGGCAAAAGATTTCTTTGCAATCGATGTACAATTAGTTTTCCATCTAAAAAATCTAGAGATCGTCATCAAGATTATTGCTTTGGATTAGGCGAAGATTGTCAAAGAGTTGAAATGCCAGTAAAGGGAGTCAATGACTTTGAGCAATTCAAAAATTATGGTCGAATAATCAATGCCCCATGTGTAATTATAGCTGACTTCGAGGGAGATAACAAGAAATGTGATGAGAAATATGGTGGAAGTATGGTTAAACTCGCTGAGCAGAAGGCTATTAGTTTCTGTTATCTAGTCCACTGGATCGATACTGGAGATGTATGGGGTCCATTTCTATACAGGGGAGAAAATGCCACACAAGAATTTATTCGAAGGATTGATCAAGAGCTAGTTCATATCAATGAAGTCTTAGCTGTTAAAGCTGATCGAATTGAGACTGAGAATAACAAGAAAAACTTTGCAGAAGCAGTTAGCTGTTGGATCTGTAAAGGTAAGTTTGATATAAATATAGAAGAAATTGAGCGATTAGAAAGCAAAATAATCTTTCTTAAAGAGAAGCTAAAATCATTCAAAAAAGGGTCAGCAGAACATAATGGTATTATAACAACTATTGATAAGGCAACCAAGGCAATTGCTAATGAAAAAGCTATGGCTGATAAGGTCTGGGATCACTGTCATATCACAGGTAAGTTTCGAGGATCCGCTCACAATACCTGTAATCTTAAGCTTCAAATCACACCTTGGAAAACCCCTATTCCAGTAGTCTTTCATAACTTTCGAGGTTATGACTCTCATTTAGTTTGTGAATCTGTTGGACGATCTGTCAATGCACATCAAATCAAAGTCATAGCTGAAACTTTTGAGCGTTATAAGTCTATGAAGGTAGGCCAGCTTAAGTATATTGATAGCATGCAGTTCATAAATACTAGTCTAGCCAATCTTACAAAGAATTTGGGTGATAACCATCCAATAACAACTCAACACTTCAAAGATTTTTCCCCTGAACAAATTTCTCTAGTATGTCGTAAGGGAGTTTACCCCTATGAGTATATTGATTCTCATGATAGATTCTTAGAAACAGAACTTCCTCCTATTCATGAATTTTATGGTCAACTTAGTGGAAAAATTACCCAAGAAGATTATCTTCACGCTCAGAAATTGTGGAAGGAATTTAGATGCAAGAATTTAGGTGAGTATCATGATCTCTATCTTAAGACTGATGTACTTAACCTTGCAGATATCTGGACACAGTTACGAAAAATGTCTATGGAATATGATGGGCTTGATCCTAGTCATTATGTTTCTCTTCCATCATATTCCTGGGACGCTATGTTAAAAATGACCGGGGTAAGTATTGAGCTTTTTACAGAGATGGCTATGCATGATTTCATTGAAAAAGCAAAACGTGGGGGTATATCTATGGCTTGCCAACGATATTTTAAGGCCAATAATCCTAAGATAGGAGAAGCCTATGACCCATCTCAACCCATAACTTGGATCTCATATGTTGATGCGACGAATCTTTATGGTTGGGCTATGAGTCAATACTTACCTATTGGAAATTATCAATGGGAGGCTAGCCGGGAATATTTACTCAAAAGTCCAGCTAAGCAAAAGGAATATCTCGAAAGGATTCTTAAGACTAAGGCAAATGCTAAGCGAGGGTATTTCTTAAATATTAAGGCACATTTCCCTCTTAAAACCCATGACTATTTAAGAGACTTACCTCCAGCCGTAGAGAATGTTGCTGTGGGAAAAAATATGTTATGTCCCTATAATTTAGAGCTTGTAGAGAAATTAGATGGTGGTCGCTTTTCTGCAACAAAGAAATTGATCCCACATCTTGGCCCACGAAATGATTATGTCATCCATTATCAAGAGCTTCAATACTATGTGAAATTAGGTATGGTTGTAGATGAAGTTTCAGAAATCCTA